TTATACAGCATTAGAAGCTGGTTAATGGTTGTAGTGAGGGTGAATATCGATAAACCAAGCAGAAAGTCCTAGTACTATAAGCTGCAATTAAAATAAATCCTTAACCCTAACACTCCTTAATCTAATTCCTAGCACCTAATGCTCGTAATCTTTGCACTCCTAACACAAAAATACTGATTTCAGTTTATTCTACAAAAAAATCATCATCTAATCTTTTCAAAGAATGAATTATAGCCAACAACATAGGTCTCAACAACGAGCTACTCGTAATAGCGTGTAAAATTCGCACTAATATTCAACGTCGACTATCTCAATTTTGATTGACTTTTCAAAACCGCCTGCATATTGTAGTATTACTACCATAGATTTGAATATTGGGCCAGTAACAACAAATCATTCATAGGTTTCCTCATAGGGATATTATATTTGATTATAAATGTTAATCATGACTTACCATATTGTCTTCCATTATCCATGAAACTTGTTCAAACAGAAGAACAGCCGGCGGAAATTGACGGCAATCAATTCAAGTATAATTGCTACGTTTATTTTATACTTCATCTTCCCCTTTAGATATGATCTCACAATCCCGCATCCTTCTAATCTTGAATCCTTATGGTAACTCAGGTTATTCACTTAAACTATACACCTGTCTATTTAAAATAGTGATAAAAAATATATATAAAGTTATATGACAGTTAAATAGGCAGTTGAAATACTGCCGGTTTTTTCTATTTCGTTAAAGTTCTACGTTGTGTAAGATTGACTACTGACTTTCGGTATATTTGGATAGTGTAATAAAAAGATGATTATCAAAAATACGTGATATATTGGCACAATACATTGCTAACAATCACACCACACGTATAATTTCAAGATACTCAACACTCATTTCGTCGTTTCATTAAGAACATCTACGTAAAAACAATTGACTATGAGCAAAAGCAAGTTTCCACCCAGATTTGGGATGAGGAACAAGTACCAACAGATTGGAAAGAGGGACTCCTGATCAAAATACCGAAGAAAGGCGATCTCAACAAGTGTGAGTACTACAGGGGCATCACTCTTTCAATACCGGGAAAAGTCTTCAACAGGGTATTGTTAAACAGGATGAAAGACTGCGTAGACGCCCGACTTCGTGACCAACAGGCAGGATTCCGTAAGGATAGATCATGTACAGACCAAATCGCAACTCTACGGATCATTGTGGAACAATCAATTCAAAGGAATTCATCACTCTACATCAACTTCATTGACTACGAAAAAGCATTCGATAGCGTGGACAGGACAACACTATGGAAGCTTCTTCGACACTACGGCGTGCCTCAGGAGATAGTCAATATCATACGGAATTCCTGTGATGAATTAAACCGTAAAATCATGCACGGAGGACAACTGACAGACTCATACGAAGTAAAGACCGGTGTAAGGCAAGGTTGCTTACTCTCAACCTTCCTCTTTCTCCTGGTGATCGACTGGATCATGAAGAAGTCAACATCTGAAGGGAAGCATGGGATACAGTGGACAACTAAGATGCAGATGGACGATCTAGACTTAGCAGATGATCTGGCTCTTCTATCGCACACGCAACAACAAATGCAGAAGACGACCAGTGTAGCAACAACCTCAGCAGCAGTAGGTCTGAACATACACAAAGGGAAAAGCAAGGTTCTCCGATACAACACAGCATGCACTAATCGAGTCACGCTTGTCGGATAAGACTTGGGAAATGTAAAAACCTTTTCATATTTGGGCAGCATCATTGATGAACATGGTGGATCTGACGCAGATGTGAAGGCGCGGATCGGTAAAGCAAGAGCAGCATATTTACAACTGAAGAACATCTGGAACTCAAAACAACTGTCTGTCAACCAACACCAAAGTCAGAATTTTCAATACAAATGTCGAGACAGTTCTACTGGATGGGGTAGGAACTTGGAGAACTACGAAAGCCATCATCCAGAAGATACAGGTGTTTATTAACAGTTGTCTATGCAAAATACTTTGAATACGTTGGCCAGACATTATCAGTAACAACCTACTGTGGGAGAGAACAAAACAGATCTCTATGGAGGAAGAATCTCTGGAAGTGGATAGGACACACATTGAGGAACACAACCAACTGCGTCACAAGACAAGCCCTCACACGGAATCCTCAAGGCCAAAGGGAAAGAGGAAGACCAAAGAACACACTACGCCGAGAAATGGAAATAGACATGAGAAAAATGAACAAGAATTGGATGGAACTAGAAAAGAAGGCCCATGACAGATTGGGTTGGAGAATGTTGGTCGGCGGCCTATGCTCCATCGGGAGTAACAGGCGTTAGTAAGTAAGTAGAAGCAAGTTTCGTTAATGAAAACAATGATCAAAATAGAACTGATAAGTTTGGTGAGGTAGACTGATTATAAAATTGTTAATCATAAGAAAAAACGCAGTTTTAAATCATCTATATATCTTTTAGATATTTTTTCAGAATTATATTGTACCCAATGTTGTTCGATGATCGTTTAATAAATAAATTGATTTAAATATTGCTTTATCACATATTTCAGTGCATTTAAATTCATTTTGCATTGTTTGTTTGAATTTTCCGATTGATGTTTAGGACAGCAATTTATATGCAAAGATGGATAGTGGCTAGCAGTAGAATCCAGCAGGCGCGTTTAGTCCTATTTGAGACTCGTCAGCTGGATGTACTTGCATCCCAGAATTGTTCACTGAGTAACTCAATACTGATCAATTGCAGTTGTAAACATCAATGGGAAAATTTAGACAAACAATAAAAATGAATTTAAATTCACTTCATTGCACAAGCTAATGACTATTAGAACTCAGTAGTCAAGTGGGTAACGCAATGGCGTTTGAAGCGAACGGTATTGTATTCGATTCTTGGAGTGAACAATTCTGGGGTGCAGGTGCATCCGCTTGATAAGTCCTAAATAGGACGAAACGCGCGTCCTGGATTCCACTACTACCCACCATACATCTTTTCAGTACATTTTTTTCGAATTATTTTACTGTGTAAGAGAGAACTTACAGAATTTATAATTTGTGATTTAATCTTATATCATTACAATAAAGTCTGTTAATTCTCGAACACCATCGAAGTTTGTACTCCTAATTAACAGGACTAACCATCATAAAGTCAATCAGGACAAAGACAGATTGGTTTTAAGAAAGAACTTCATTTTTTAACTCTAAAGGCAACAATTTATACTGTTTTGCTTGTAGTTTTGACAATAATTAGCAGTGGATTCTACAAAATCTACTTTGTCTTATATGAAATTTACCAACTGAATGCACCTCAACTCGAAAATTTATGTTCCATACTAGAACCCTAAACCCTTATTGTTTAATACCAACGTCAGAATATTATTCACCAGCCTATACATTAACGTCAAGTGTTTCCAACTAAATAAATAATTTGTGATTAATACAATTTTCCAAACTAACTTCAACAGCTCTTTTTCATTAAATAATTCTATATTATTTCAAACAGTCAATTGTATAACAAACTACCCAGCTATAATTCAACATTCTATACACTTAGTAGATTATGAACAGAGTGATCCCGGATACTGTTAGAGGTATGAAAACAGTTGTCTGTTTCCAACTCCCCCCTGTACATTAAGCAGTATAACTTCACCTTCGTACCGTAAGTTGCTGACTTTAGTCTTATTGTCCTCCAGCCGACCTATCTGTCACTGTAAAACCTGGGAAAACAACTGTTCGAGCTAATGTAGGTCGACTAAGTTGTCATAATACGCAACCCTGATCACTACGTCAAGGCAGCAGCTATAGTTAAGCCTATATAATTGATTCACAGTCGTTATGTATTGAAAATTACACCAATAAACAATACTCACGTCATATAGTTTTCCTTCTCTACGCCATCAAGACAAATACATGCTGTTTTATTCAAGTTTTTAATATACAGTACTAATAGTACATGAATGAGTCACATGGTTACAATTTAAATAAAAACTGTAAATCATGGTAGAATGGAATGTGCAAGGCTACAATATATATATATATATATATATATATATATATATATATATATATATATATTCTACTCTGCCAATTTACGTCAATTTGTTCCGAGTCATTGTATATATAAATAGAATAAAATCAACATATTAAAGAAATGCTGATACTTGGTGTAAGTTGATTAGAAAATTCAATACCACAAATTATTCGGTATCTATAGTTTGAGTAATATTAGTAAACTAGAAGTAAATCTGAACAATGGCTGAATGATTAGATTAAATACAAGACACAAAATAATAACGTTGCGCAGTATTGACTAGATATCTAAAGAATCGATGACCTATGACTTTAGTTGAAAAATTAGTTCGGAAGAGTCCCCAATTCGAATTATGGATTTATTTCAATAGCTATCATCACTACATCACAAGTAACTTACATCATGAAGTGACCTAACTTATACGGCCACTGAAAATCAATAACCATTGGGTAGCTGCACTAACTAGTCCTTAATCTTAAGGGGTGATTCTCGGTGTTCTAGTGAGAAGCCATAACCAGTGAAGATGGATGATGGCCATGTAATATTGTAAATTTAATGAAGTTAGAAATCCAAACCATAAGACCGATACACTGGTCTTCACATGACCTGATACAACTGATGAATAGAAGCTGTCATCTTACAAAATATTTAATTTAGTTGGCTTGGCGAAAAATGTTACAGAGCAACCAATAATCCAACACTCCCGTTCGTTATATCACCATAAAGAGCAGTAGACATTTTACTGCTACTTGTAACATGCGCCTGAATGACGGATTCCAAGGGGAAACTGAAAATTTTTTACTCTACTTTGACCAATAAGGGGATCATAGGTAAATTTCCGTTTTCAGAATTTCAATAAAAGCCAAAAATGTGAGATTATCAAATGACTTAATAAAGTCAATGTAAGTTAAACTCCCTGGATTCCTTTTATCTAAAGACTGCTCCCAGCTCTCTCTTGATGGTGGAGAGTTGATTGTGTATTGATCAACAAGAAGTTAGATTACAAAAAGATAATAGTCTTAATAATTCTTATCAACATTTTTACAACAAAATGGTCAACGAATCGATTTGTGTCGCTTGGATCCTATTTTGTGGATCGAGATAATTATGGTAGATTACCATTCCAATGGTAAAATACGCTGGATACTTCAAGTTCTGAATATTACTATCAGGAGAACAGGTAGTTTTTAATATAAATCCTCAGCGATTTAACTTCAAAAGAAAAGTATCCTCTACATAACTATTCATAATGTAAAAGCTGAATAGATTATTGCAAAAACTAATTCTGAAACATGGAAATCCAAAGAATGATAGAAAATTACTGCAATCATGCCACAGAATAACCAATAACCGTATCTATATAGACTTAATCTACAAATCTATAAGGAAACAGACAACTAGTCAAGCGAAAAGCGACCAATCAAATAAAAATACAAACCAAAAGTTAACAAAACTACGAAGACAAAGATTCACAGACAAATTCGTCAGGATAGATTGATTAAACGCTTATAGAATAGTAATTAAACAAGGTATTTTTACATCAACAAGACATTGAATATGTTGTTCAGAACAACAACGACAACTTTACAATCCAACTATTAATCTTAAAGAATTCAATAAAACTAAAAGAAAATAATCCGTCCTATTTCTTTATCAAATGGCTACAAACACCAATACAAAAAAATATAATGATTACATTTAATTTGTTGAATTGTGTAATACTTGAAGAGTTGTAATCTCATTTTATTTATCAATTCAATATAAGTCATAACCGATAAAAAAAATAATAAGGGATGGATTAATAACAGGGTAACAGGATACAAAACTTAATTTCACATTAAAATAGCGATTTATATCTTCGTGTAATAAGATAGAAATATAATATTCGGATAATGAAAATCCATACAACAGTAGGCTACGCATAAGACATCATGTCATTCGAGTGAAAGTTACAAATATGTATACAAGGATATATATGTACTAGTGATCAATATTTATTAACATCAAGATCCTGATCAGAATCTACACTTTCTGCATTATTGTCATTAATTGTGGAAATGTCTTTAGCAGAATTTCGAACTATAACCTGTTGTGATTGATGTCCGGATAATAAGTATAGTAAACATTGTTCCAGTAGTCCAACACATGAATCAAAACAAGGTCTGAAATATAGAAGAAGAATACCTCCATTATTAATATCAAAAGTTAACTGTTTTTGTCAAGTTGGAGTGTGACATAAGGGCATCCTGGACGAACTGCAATGTAAACAAAAGTATTAATTAAAGTTTGGTTGTGGATAGCAGCGGAATCAAAGACTCATATTTTGTCCCATTTACGACTCGTTAGCTAGATGTGCCTGCATTGCCGTATTGGTGTTCTTTACACTGAGACCTGAATGATAATTCGCTTCAGATCCCAACACATTATCCGTTGAGCTACTGAGTCCATTAAACTACTAACTTGTTCAAGGGGGCATAATTTTGTTTTGAAGTGCGCTTGGTTATTGTATTTTAGGATCTAATGGTTTAGTGTTTTGATGAACTGTCACTTTTATAAATAAACCAATCAGGATTAATGTGTATTTGTTTTTTACGCGAAATTAAAAAGTAGTCCTGTAACAGCAAAGAAAACACACTGGAGGAGGAAAGATTAACAGTTAATTGATGTGCTTCATTATTTATCTTGTGAACAGGGTCAGAAATGAAAACACCATAGATTAATGCTACAACTGCATAAACAAAGGGAGAATGAATGATTGTAAGCTGCTAATTGTTTACCGATTTGCACATTCTATGCATGTATGCTTTACTTAGTGTGTTGTTTATACATAAAAGATATTTTTTCTGACTCCGCCTTGTATTATGTTCGTGTGTTAACCTCTGGCGTCGTGCTTCATTGTACAGATCAAAGAAGCACATTCGGAACTAATATTCACCTAATAAAGAATACTGTATTGTTGAATGTACCTTTCGTTAATGCTTAAATTATCACCAGTATCTAATTCAAAAACAAAAGTCAGCTACTAGGATTTCTTCACAATTCACTAATAACTTATTTCATTGACCCGGAATTTTTTGGTTGGTGTCCCTAGTTGTATGGTTATTGTTTGCATGTTCTGAGTCATCAGTGTCAATTGTGAAGAAATTCTAATAGCTCACTTCTTTTGAAGAAGACTTTAAACTGTTTCGAGTTGATAATAAGTTAACCATAGTAATATACTGTGGAGACAACCTGAAGAAAATATGGTTGCTATGACTGCTAAAATTCAACTATATCAGTTGTGAAGCAATTATTCAATAGTGGCCATAGGATAACTGTTGAGCTATATCTCAAGCTGGCTGATACCTGACAGTATATTGATTTCGCAATCATCAAAATAGAGAAAGTATTAAAGTATTTCTTCGTTGAAAGAAAGTAAATTACAAACGCCAATAAACAAAAAATTAGGTGAAACTTTAATTTATGGACGATCTTCTGGTGACGCTGGACTGACCTTGAGGGTGTCCACCTAATAACTAGGACCAAATGAGGCTTAAAAACTAGTGTGAGGAACCAGAATTATGATTGACAGTTGATGAACATCATGAACTGACATTAGCTATAATGCCAAAACCCCATTTTTCCATATGGATGCGTGGATTTCGCGCCAAAATTGGAGACCTGTCATTTTATACGTGATTGTTTCGTCCATAAATTATAGTCTCGCCAAAAATTACTAATCAGTAAATATGTGAAAGTGAAGTGGTAGCATATGACAACGTAAAAGTACTCATCTCTCAACTAAACGGTTTCAGATTCAAAACGTGTTCAGTGGCCGGGTATTTGATTCCAGATAGGTTGTTTCTGATTGTTATCGAAATACACATGTCGCCAATCCTTGTATATAATTATCGACATAAATCGTGTTGGTGAATAACGAAACTAAATAAGTCAAATATGAGAATGCGTTTTCTAATACGTATATTTTGTACAGTCATTGATCGGTAAGCGAAACAAAATAAAATGATACGCAGAGAAGTAGGTGAGTGAGCCAACATGATATAACCAAGCGTTAATCGATATTTATAGTCACAAAAATAAACTACAGAAATGTGATGATTAGGATAAGTAGTGCATTTACATGCGCTCACATAAGAACAGTCAAGGCTGATAAGTTACAAGGTCAAAATGTAGCCTGAGAAAAATGAGTAAATTTGTCTGTGTACAGAAACGAGAATAACCTATGTGAGCTTGACATGTGGCCATTCACTATGCATAAGCCAATTACTTCAAATTCACTGGAGAGATATAAGTGTGGCTAAACATCACATCAATTGATGTGGCTTAAGGTCGAGGACATTAACTTGAACTTGGCAAGTAAGTTAATATATGCTACATTGGTATGAGGAATCATTTGCGTATTTTAGAAAACTATTTTTCTTGATGTAAACTTAATCCATATAACTGATTGTCTTTATTTTATTTAAACAATGAATATATAAATGGAATTATGAATAAATTTGAAGCAAAAATCCTACCTATTTCTTGGATCCAATGAAATGCATTGACTTGTCATGTTTAATAATATTGGTGGTGTATTGATAGGAAAATTTTCTAGTTTCATTAATTCATCCATTTCTATACACAAAGTTTTTACATCACGTATTAAGTTATCTGGATCAGCATTTGTACGTAGAATTAATTGACACATAATTGTACCAAATGAATATACATCTACTGAATTATCATATGGTTGACCGGCTATCATTTCTGGAGCCATCCAGTATGGACTACCAACCTTTTTATAATTAATCGTGAGAAAGATGGAAACAAAAGAGTTATATTCAGAAAAGGGTATTTAAAATACAAGAACTTTATTATTTCAGTGAGTTATACAGGTTGGCACATATATGTATCGGTTCAAATTCACATACCATATCAGCAAAGGAAGATTAGATCATCAAAGTAGTAGAAATAGCAATAGTGGAAAATTTTTAGATATAGCCAATAGATAAGAAAGAATAAAACTGACCAATAAAAATTATGAATATTTTTAAAAAAGAGTGGAATATATATGACTGGTTTTGGTTAATGTCACTTAAGGTATCTAAACAATTGCGCGGATCCTAACGAGGGAGCCTACATCTATTTAAACAGCTCAGTCCAGCAGTCAATAACTTTATGGACTGATGTTATATCTTGGTTTGGTTTCTTTTAGCTTTCTTCCAACGACTCCTATAACAGTGGTTGGGCATACGCAATACATATCCTAACCACTTTAATCGTTGATTGTTGACTACTCATCGATTGGTTGACTATCCTTACCTAGTATTCTGCATTTAAACTCGGACATTTTTTATACAAATAAGATCAGTAGGAATTAGGGGTTTAGGGACAAAACTATCAAAGGTTATGCCGTTGGTCTGAACCTAAGCGGGTTTAGGCAGATGTGATAATGGTGTGGTGAACGAGATTTTTGTTGAGGACAACCAAATTACAGAGTATCTTTCTGAAATATAAGAATTGTACACTGAATACTTCATTTGCGAATTCCCATCATTTGTCTTTCATATTCCGTATAATTCTTCCAGTTCACAATTCCTTTCAATTTTCCTTTTTATTCTCGTCAACTCGATCTTTTTAGCCTTCAGCTGCCATGTTTTCCACTTTCGGTGTTATATGCTACTTATGTCGACAGACTTAAGTAATATACACCACAGTAATATTAATAGTCTTCACATATAGCGAGATTTGCAGCTGAGCATATGAAATATTTGGTAAAAATAAATTATAATATTTAACTAATATTAGATTAATCGAAATAAGTTCATTAAAAATGGACTTTTGTATAAGTGTAGTGTATTTGTAGAGTTGAATGATCTTATGGCAAATAAAAATGATTCTAGAAACAGTGAAACAGACTGTTATTAGTTTCCCTGAAAAAAAGTGATTAAATACTTTTGTTTATTCTATTTTACTGTTACTGTGGTGTGGGTTACTTATATCCACATAAGTAGTATACAACGGTGGTCAGGCATAGAATGTATTTCAGTAGAAGATTGATGAGGAAAAAACGTGAACGGAACGCAATTGGTATGAAAATACATGAACAATAAAATCTGAGACAATGGACTGATATATGCAAAAGGAACAGTCAAGTTTGAGACGATGGATTGATATTTTGCAAATTAACTATCTACTATATGGTTCTCAGATTTTATTGAGATGCCCTGTAATTTCGTATCAAATAAACTCAGCTGTTCACACTCGTATTCTTGTTCACTATATTCAACAGAATTTTATTGCCGATATGATTGTATTTACTATCATAATGTAGAAGAAGTATGTATATTTGTGATTCTACAGCTCTGAAAATGAATTTGCCGAAAACAGAACTCTCCACTGAACCAATCTTTCTTATTTTATGTCTCAATGGGTATATTCTATTTACTAGAAACTGTTATAACGCTCGGTTTTACTTCGTCTAGTGTTATAACGGTTGGGTTTCCACTTTTATACGAACGGGACTTAAATTACCTTAAACGAATATCTACATTAGATTCCCTCCCAGTGTCTATTCTACAGGACTTCAACACAACTCAGACCAAGAAGACGTGATTAGCCTGACCACAACGTAAATATATATTCCACACCAAAACCCGACACAATCCAACAACAATGAACAATCAATAATAAGTGAGTAATGATAATAAAGATAGGGGAATATATAACTAGTCTGACTCCTATCAGACTATTTACATGCCTGGCTAAGCAGACAACCAATCATTATCATTCTCGCCCACACATCAGAAACATACTGTGTCATGAAGTTATTCTTAAAGTGGTATAAAATTCGAGAACACATTTTAATTCAATGTGATATTTAAAATGGTACATTTTCGTCCAGTATATTTGTGGTGAGACTTTGGTTTATGGACGACCCTGGAAAGATGCTAAAGTGACCTCGAGAAAATCCACCTACCTACTATGATCGGAAGAGGGCCATAAATTCGTGTGAGAAATTAGGATCGGAATTTAGAGTTATGAATTAAAGTTATCATCACGAAATGACATCAGACACAGTGCTAAAACGTTAGGATAGACTCCACTTTCGTAATTTTGACCGTGCGCCTTGGCAACCAACCAAAATGAAGTGGCAATCATTATCTGCACTATCGTAAACCAAGATGGAGGGTGTTTCGTTTTCTGTCGTTGTTGGTCGCTTACATGAAAAATATAAAGTTTTCTACGACGAAAATACTGCTCTATAGTGCTACGGACGTGTCAAGTGTAGTGCACTCAAGTCATGATGGAAGAAAAATTACAACAGCAAAAACCATATCTCCAATTTATCCTAAGATATAAACTGCCCCAACATATCCACAATTGAGTAACTAAGCAAACGACATAATAACCGTAATTACTGAACACGACACACTCAGACGAACTGAGCCCTATTTTGCCATATAGGTGAATGAATTTCGCGCTCAAGTCCGAGACCTGACATCTTAAATCTGATTGGCTCGTCCAAAAATTATAGTCTTGCCATATTTGTTTTATTTCAGTGTAATATTTATTCAATATAAAATAGTTTTATATTAAACTTAGTGTGATATTTGTTCAGTGTAATATCCAGAATTCATTGTGTTTTTGAGTCAGAGTAAAACCCATTTATTTATATAGATTTCCATTATCTTCAGTTGTATATGGATATTCATTATTGACTAGTCATTGTTTTCCAGTGAAATCTATGTATAAATGAGTGTGTTTAATCGCTGTGTGTCTTAAAGGGTCATATAAAATTATTATCTATCATCAGTGATTATCATTTTGTTTGCGTTGTGTAAGCCTTAGTTGTGGTTTTCCAAATTGTACATGATATAGGATACAACTGGTTTAAGCTTTAAAACTGCTTTGACTACTCACTCTATGCAGTTCACGTTCATGTTTATTTCATTCAATATGCTGTTTAAGGGATCATAATAATTACAGTATCAGCTCTCTTACCCAGTAACTGAGTACATATACTAAGGGATAAAAAACAATTTATGGTATGAAACACACATATTAAGCAACGTCGAAAAAATACCCAAGGATAACTGAAATTATTTCATTTGGTTAAGTGAAATTACTTGAAACCAATCGATACTGACTTTTTAATGCTTAACAATCATTTCACTTACTACAGTATGTCTTCTTGGATGATTGTATGCATGATGACGTCTAAGACAAGAAGTATGATTACGTTGAACATCGGTGTTATTTGAAGTATCAGAAGAATCTTGAATTATTGATTCGGAGTCATTTGTTGTTGTGTGATCGGAGCATTTTTCTTCTGTTTTCTGTCTACAAGACGGAATTGACTGAACTAATTTTGACAATCCAAAGTCAGACACAACTACAGAGTCATCCTAATGAAAAGGAAATAAGAAAACTTTCTAGAACGCCATTTTAATTCTTTTCAACAATCAATTCATAAGACTAATTGGTCAGAAAAACATCAAATGAATGTTATGATGAATAGAACTTTTGGGACCAACTTATTGCAAACTTTAGTAGGTGACACAACAAAAAACAACTTTGGTTGTGTGTTTTTTGTGTGGGAAAAACCATGATAATTAGTTTAAATTGTTTTATATTATAACTATTAAGGGATTATATTATACGGTTGTCATAAAAAAAATGGTTAGACCAATGTAATCCTTTCAGAGCGCGCATATACCAACAAAGACTGATCAAAATTCAGCCGTGATCATCAACAATGAGGTAATAGACTTTTACCGATAACACAAGACTACGCACCTGTTGAACAAGTTGGTGGCTAACTGAACAGGATAGTTGTCAGCAGATAACTCGTTGACGTCTGAAGTAAAAAGTATTGGGTCCGAGTCCCATTGTGAAGAACATCAAACAATGAGGATGAAGGTATATCTAGATGATGGGTCCTATGTAGGACGAGAAGAAAGTCCTGGATTCCAATCCTGATATTCTAAGGAAGTGGTATCCAAGAGATTTCGGAGTGGACAGTGGCCATAAATGTAAAATCTTATACGGTTCATTGGTTTTAGCGGCTTCCGTTTCTCATTATGGGAGATCTTATTAAAATTCACTGTACTCTTATTTACAGCATCAAAGTGGTATACTCCAATGGCACACGTAAGTTTTAAAATCCCTCTTATAAGGTAAAGGACAGAAAATTTAACAATAACAATCGACTACATAAGTTAAAGATTAAAAATTAGTTATGGAGTATAGATCACATAGCAATATAAAACGCAGAGATTTCAGCTGGTATACAGTAATTGGGCTTAAATAGTTATTAAAGCGGCAATATTTTGTGGATGTTTATTTGTGAAGATAACGATCCATACATTTTTTTCCATTTTAATATTCATGATTTATATGAAGGTTTTGAAGCTGCACGGATGCTCAAAACAAAACTAACATATTGATGAACCACTGAGTAGTAACAGATCTCATGGCTATCTAGTCCTGAGTGCTGGTCAAATCATACTGATCAAGTTGCAATGTGGTCATCGTGACTTCAGTCACTACTGTGATTAATCACTGCAAATATTTTAATTCTACAGGAGGTCAGTCATCACTCGAATAGCTCAACGATACCGTTTTAAACTATGATGCTGGTTGATGCAGCCTCGAATCCCACAAGGACAATTAGCTACCTAGAAGTTAGAGGTACGGGTTGTTTATAAGCACGAAATCCAAGTCCGTAGTACTCAGTCGACTAATTCCAGCCACTTAACATCAAAACAAAGTTAGTAGTTTTACTGACCATGCAATTTGATCTAAGAATACTGTAGCAACGCAAAAAAAATATAGTATGAATTAGGTTTGTTATATCCGAGCGAAGATTAAATTACAGGTAACTCCCGAGGACTATTAGTGGACTAATATTCTATAAATATTCTTATTGTAAAACTATTCAATCATTAGATTATGTATATTTATATCCCTCTTATTATAAGCTTTATTTTGATCTATAATTTATTATTGTACGATTTACGGTTCTTAAACTATGTTCAGTCTATTAATTACTGTCCCCCTCGTTCACAGCCACTTTTTGGCTTATTTGTGTACATATGTTATTTCCTAATTTATGGTGTGTTGTGGTCTGTCTGTTTGATATATAAACCGAGTATGTTTGAAATAAACGATCTGCTCTGATCTGCTCTGATCTGCTCTGATCTGCTCTGATCTGCTCTGATCTGCTCTGATCTGCTCTGATCTGCTCTGATCTGCTCTGATCTGCTCTGATCTGCTCTGATTCGAAGCTGGTATTGTGTTCTGAACTCAAGTGGAAGGGCTCGTAGTACATAGGACCAATAAGGACGCTAGACTGCCCACACCGGTTGAACGTCATTGGTTGGCCTAGTGTGAAATTCGTATAAGTCGTATCCGGATTGGTAGATAGGTCGCGTGATAGCAAAAAGCAGACATACTCAAGGTCATAACAAGGTTCACCAGCCATTTATTTCATTATGATCCCAAAACATACGTACATTCCTACTAGTTTGGAATCAAACTTTTCAAACTAACATTTATTTGAATCCTCATTACTAAATGATTCGATTAAAACAGTTTGATGTTATCTACTTCAATCTTGTTTGATTTCAATTATACTTTTTTGTTGTTGAAAGAATTGTTTCTTTTAAAAAAAGAAATTTGAATAATACCAATAACGTTTCAAATCGTTAACACAATGAATGATGTTTATAAAGAATGTTTAATTAGCTTACTTGTCGTACAAGACAATTAAAAGTTGTTAAATCCCGATGTATAACGTCATGTTTATGTAAATAAGCCTAAAAGTTACATTAATAAAAATACAAATCATGTTAATTCACAAAGAATAAATAATTTTTTTTGGTATTTTATTTACAATTAATGTAAACTGTTACATTATTTAATATTTTCATGGTTCAGAAACATTGCTTAATTACTTACTCCAGTTACTCTCAATGGAGCATAGGTCGCCGACCAGACTTCTCCAACCCAATCTGTCATGGGACTTCTTTTCCAGTTCTATCCTATTTTTGTTCGTTTTTCTCATGTCTATTTCCATTTCTCGACGTAATGTGTTCTTTGGTCTTACTCTTTCTCCTTTGGCTTTAAGGATTCCAAGTGAAGGCTTGCATTTCGATGCAGCTGAGTGCTTTCCTCAATGTGTGTCCTATCCACTTCCAGAGATTCTTCTTGATTTCTCCTCCGCTGGGATCTGGTTTGTTCTTTCCAGCAATAGGTTGTTGTTAATAGTATCCGGGCAACGGATCCGAATTATTTTGCGTAGACAACTGTTAATAAACACCTGTATCTTCTGGATGATGGCTTTTGTAGTTCTCCAGGTTTCCGCCCCATACAGTAGAACTGTCTCGACATTTGTATTGAAAATTCTGACTTTGGTGTTGGTTGACAGACAGTTATTTTGAATTCCAGATGTTCTTCAGTTGTAGATATGCTGCTCTTGCTTTGCTGATCGCGCTTTCACATCTGCATCAGTTCCACCCTGTCCATCAATGATACTGCCCAGATATGTAAAGGTTTTTACATTTCTCAAGTCTTGTCCGACAAGCGTGATTCGATTGATGCATGCTGTGTTGTATCGGAGAACCTTGCTTTTCCCTTTGTGTATGTTCAGACCTACTGCTGCTGAGGTTGTTGCTACACTGGTCGTCTTCTGCATCTGTTGTTGCGTGTGCGATAGAAGGGCCATATCATCTGCGAAGTCCAGATTGTCCAGCTGCATCCTAGCTGTCCATTGTATCCCATGCTTCCCCTCAGATGTTGATTTCTTCATGATCCAGTCGATCACCAGGAGAAAGAGTAAGGTTGAAAGTAAGCAACCTTGCCTTACACCGGTCTTTACTTCGAATGAGTCTGTCAGTTGTCCTCTGTGCATGATTTTACGGTTTAATTCATCGCAGGAATTCCGTATGATAATGACTATCTTCTGAGGCACGCTGTAGTGTCGAAGAAGTTTCCATAGTGTTGTCCTGTCCACGCTATCAAACGCTTTCTCGTGGTCAATGTTGATATAGAGCGATGAATTTCATTTTATTGATTGTTCCACAGGTTCAGAAACATGGTATATTACAAAATATTTACTTGCAATAAAATAATGTTCTACAGTATATTTTCTTCTTTATGATGATGATGATCTTGGAAAAATCTTTTAAACTGTCAACATTATACTGATTGTTTATTATAAACCGAACCAACCATTTAAGAACATCGCATATTTGTTTTTCATGTCTGTGACAGATTTATCAGGATAGGAACAGAATGGAATTTCTTTAGATGCATTTATGAATTGTAAGCAAGATTTTTAAGGACCTATATATTAGTTTCGAGAGATTCTTGATAATTTAACCTAATTAATAACCGTAGATAGGGCAACCAGTTCACATATTTCTAGTTGCAAAAGCACATGTAGAAGAATATTACGTTAGCCTCTGTATACGATACACAATAAACCTTATTATTCAAACAAAATAAAGCGTCATTTTTAAATAAACTAATATTTAATCAAGTTACCCAATTAATTTTATAATAACACAATTGAATAACTAAATACAGTTCCGTAATCAGTTTTTGAATCAAATATTCTTATGTGGAAACGAAGGTGAATATCTTGTTGTTAAGACTGACACAGCAAAGCTCAGAAAATGAGAACCAAAGGTAGTCTTTCAACAGGTACTTACCTCATCGTTCGATTATATGTTCACTAATGTGTATTTAAACATTAAGAATTCAACGAAATTAGTATTATTGACAAAACAAATTATATTTAATTAACAAAAATATTCACTTGATAATTACAGTATATTTCCTTTCTCATTATAGATGAATAAATAAAATGTATCATTATAATGAATACGTTAACATTAAAAGAGTATGCTAATCATAATGTAATCAACATTACTTTCTTTATTATCTATTTTTCTTTTATCTTTTAATTTGTTTAATTGACATTTATTCTTTCATTTATAAATTGATTAACAAATAAATATATGACCAGATTGTTTGAAATATACTACTCTGATATATCACATAGTTCTAATGAATTTCATCTTCTTAACGCATTATCTAGATGTATCAAATAGTTTGTTTATATATTATAATCACCATAAATACACCTTAATAACAATAATAAGCTGCAACGTAGGACCAAGAACATATATACATCGGTCCAAAGTTGCCATACCTCATTAGCACAACAAGGTGAATACCGAATTCATAGAAGTAATTAATTCAGTGGTGGTAATATATAATAGAAAGATCACACATAAGAATATAGTACAGGAAGAAAGATTTAATACGTAGAAAGAAAGATATGAAGTGATTTTAATCTCATAGATCAAGAGAAGTTAGAGAGTGTATACTAGTGAACCATGTCACCCAGAGTCTTCAACCATTCATTACAATAGTCACGCGGACCTCAAACAAGTAATCTGCATCTACCAACATGGCTAAGACTAGAAGTTAGTGACTTCAAGCACTGATGCCAAATATTAGTTTGCCCACCCATAACTTTCTTCCAACCAGACCCAACACTCGTCAGCATTGTGCGTCGTAATCGGAGTTCAGGCATACGTAACACGTGTCCCAACCATCTTAGCCAGTGAAGATTTACAACCTCGTCAACAGATTTGCCATTGTTCCCTAATACCCTGCTTCTAACCTCACTATTACTTATCCGGTGATCCCAGAAGATACAAGCAATATTTCTAAGGCATCTGTGGTAAAATAATAGTAGCTTACGAATATCTTCTACTCTTAATGGCCACGTTTCGCAGCCGTAATATAGAACATGACGAACTGCACACTATACTCGTCCCTTAATCGAAGGACGGATATCTCGCCTTTGTCATAGGTGACGTACGTTAGCAAAAGCCAAAAGAGCTTTCTAAATAAAACAAAAAATATTTTGAAAAAAAAAACAAAAAAAACAATTAAACTTACCATCCCTGATGCAATATCACGACCAAATGTTATTATTTTAATCCAATCAAATGGATATTTCATTTTATCCAAACATAATGAATGTAAACTTCCTTTTTCAATATATTCAGTAATAAGACAAAATTGTCTATTTCGAATAACCACACCGACAATTGTTAAAATATTTGTATGTTTTAAATTTTGAAGTAATGAAACCTATAACAAAATTTTTAAAAAAGATAATTAATTAAATGAAATTAAATAAAGCAAGAACAAATAATGGTGCAGAATAGTATGAATTCATATTAATTCGAGGTTTCTCGTCAGCTGCTTACAAACCAAAATTGTGATAGAATTTTTACATTGAGATATAGTGAAAACAATTGACGTAGATGAGTGTAAATAACTGGGTTACAATAATAATTGTAAATATATATATATATATATATGCTAGAACAGGTCAGAGGTCAAAAGGAATTAATTCAGGTTGGGTGGTGTAATAATGGAATTGAATAATAATAATAATAATAAAATAGAATTTGAAAAGTTAAGATAATTTAAGAGGATCAGGTGGCGGAAATGTGTGAATAATAATGTGGTTTAAGAATTATGTAATAGGGGAGGAGTATAAATATTTTAAAATAAATAAATAAATAAAATAAAAAGGGGTTACCAGGGTAGTGATAAGTTAATTAAAGTCTCTTTTTGGATGCATAAGTCAGGTTTGAGTTTTTTTATCATGATGGCTTCAGCAAAACGGAGGGTGGTCGTACTTCTTTGTCTATTGATGATTTTGAAAGCATGTGGAATCTCGATGGTGTGCCCGGTGTCAAGTAGATGTCGAGCAATTGCGCTGTTGAAGGCCTTATTCCCCCGCAGCCTCAAGTTTTTTGGAACATGCTCAGAAATGCGGACATGCACTCTTCTGAGACTTTAATTAACTTATCACTACCCTGGTAACCCCTTTTTATTTTATTTATTTATTTATTTTAAAATATTTATACTCCTCCCCTATTACATAATTCTTAAACCACATTATCATTCACACATTTCCGCCACCTGATCCTCTTAAATTATCTTAACTTTTCAAATTCTATTTAATTATTATTACGTAATCTACCTTATGATTATTGAATTCCATTAATCACCACAATTATCACACAATTTATGAACTTCACCAAATTATTACACCACCCACTCTGGATTAACCCCCCTCTTTTGACCTCTGACCTGTTCTAGCATATATATATATGTATTTACAATTATTATTGTAACCCAGTTATTTACACTTATCTATGTCAATTGTTTTCGCACTATCTCCATGTAACACAAATTCTATCACAATTTTGGTTTGTAAGCAGCTGACGAGAAACCTCGAATTAATATGAATTCAGCGAAGAAAATTTTCTTTTCGACGAAATCATTTACTTTAGCTGTACATTCGTATATATAGTTATATGGAAAATGTATGTCTATAGAAGGATAGAATGGATTGTATCAAAAAGTGGATTCGACAATAAATAACAAATGAGGTTAACGTACTAATCAAGGGGTAAGGAAGAACAAAATTTAAGGGTCAGATAATAGTCCAATTGACAGATATGAAGAAAAACGACAAAACAACAAAGGTCATAATAATAAATGATAAGAGTTTAAAGTGCAAAATAGTAATTTAAAAATATGGATAATAATAAAAGTGCATTAAAAAAAAAAAAACCCCACCTAGAAACATACCCATTAAGGCCAGGGAAGGATCAGAGGTTGGACAAATCGTTTCTGCACGCAAAGTTCAGGCTTTAGTTTGTGGATTGCCAATGCCTCTGCGGTGCATAAAATATTGATTCGAACCCTCTTCGATCCAGTTCCTTTGACTCTGTAAACTATTTTAAACGAAGAGTCTTTTGGAGCGATATGTCCACAGTTGATTAAGTGCTCCTGTATAGAACTCGTGATTGTTTTTCGCTCCCCTTTCAAAAGCCAAGCCGGATAATGTTCCGAGATGCGTTTGGATAATGATCGCTTTGTGCGGCCTATGTAACATGCCCCACATGAGCAAGTAAATTTATAGATACACATTGAAGTGGCCCAAAGCGAAAGTTTGTCCTTAACACACCCCAGAATGGTAGGTCGGCTAAAGAAGATGATTCGAAGCTTAGCTGCGTGGAATGTTTTATTCATTGATTTCGAAATCCGTTTATTTAGGATTTCAGCAGCTGTATCTCCCTTAAATTCCATATTCATGAATAGAGTCTTTTTCTCTACTGTCAAAGCTTTGTCATGAGGTCTAGGTACCAAGTTTCTGTCGATGAATCTCGGTGGATAACCATTTTTGATGAGGGTCTGTCGAAGATAAAACAATTCCCCATCTATTGTGTCGTCGGAACAAATTCGTCTGATTCTTGAGGATAAAGAATGAATTAAGTTCCTTTTTCTAATTAATGGAACCCAACTGTGGAAGTTCGTGTATTGTCCATTCCAAGTGGGTTTTCTGTATATCGATCTCTGTAATAAACCGTCAGGCATTCTTTTTAAATGGATATCAAGAAAATGAAAATCTCAATTATCTGATCTTCGGAGAAATCAGGACTTAGTTTTATGCCGGCCAGACAAGGGTGCAGGAATTGTTCTTATGGATCGTATTGACTATGTTACAAAAATGTCTTCAATATTATCTGATCCTGTCAAATTCTCTATTGAGAACGTTCAAAAAAGACACTACTGAAAAAACTGAACAAATGCTAATTAAAATTTTGAAAAAAATGAAAGATGAGGATATTATCAATCATGACCTCTATGAACACCTCAAACCATCTGGTTCTGTTGTACCAAGACTATATGGACTACCAAAAGTCCATAAGAAGAATAACCCACTACGTCCTATACTGGATATGAACAATTCTCCCTATCATTTGATCGCTAAATGGTTAGTTAACATTCTAAAACCTGTTAAAAATCATATGAACAAACACAATTCTCTTGATTCCTTTGACTTTGTTGACTCCATTAAAAATATCAATGTATCCGGTAAAAAAATGTTCTCATTAGACGTCACTTCTCTTTTCACAAATGTTCCCCTCACAGAAACCATTTGCTTTCTATGTGACTATATTGAAAACAATAATTTTGATATGCGTATCCCGATACATTACCTTAAAGAACTACTTCTAAGATGTACGCTCAACGTGCAATTTAGATTTAATGATATTTTCTATAAACAAATAGATGGAGTGGCAATGGGCTCTCCATTGGGTCCTCTCCTGGCTGATTGTTTTATGGCGAACCTAGAAAATTCGGTACTTCGACCAATAATTGAAAGATTTCATTTATATAAAAGATATATGGATGACACCTTCATTATTTGCGAAGAAGACATTGACCTCAATGATATCTTGAATATTTTCAATAATTGTCACCCATCAATCCAATTCACCTTAGAAGCAGAGAAAAACCAGGAATTTCATTTTCTTGATATCCATTTAAAAAGAATGCCTGACGGTTTATTACAGAGATCGATATACAGAAAACCCACTTGGAATGGACAATACACGAACTTCCACAGTTGGGTTCCATTAATTAGAAAAAGGAACTTAATTCATTCTTTATCCTCAAGAATCAGACGAATTTGTTCCGACGACACAATAGATGGGGAATTGTTTTATCTTCGACAGACCCTCATCAAAAATGGTTATCCACCGAGATTCATCGACAGAAACTTGGTACCTAGACCTCATGACAAAGCTTTGACAGTAGAGAAAAAGACTCTATTCATGAATATGGAATTTAAGGGAGATACAGCTGCTGAAATCCTAAATAAACGGATTTCGAAATCAATGAATAAAACATTCCACGCAGCTAAGCTTCGAATCATCTTCTTTAGCCGACCTACCATTCTGGGGTGTGTTAAGGACAAACTTTCGCTTTGGGCCACTTCAATGTGTATCTATAAATTTACTTGCTCATGTGGGGCATGTTACATAGGCCGCACAAAGCGATCATTATCCAAACGCATCTCGGAACATTATCCGGCTTGGCTTTTGAAAGGGGAGCGAAAAACAATCACGAGTTCTATACAGGAGCACTTAATCAACTGTGGACATATCGCTCCAAAAGACTCTTCGTTTAAAATAGTTTACAGAGTCAAAGGAACTGGATCGAAGAGGGTTCGAATCAATATTTTATGCACCGCAGAGGCATTGGCAATCCACAAACTAAAGCCTGAACTTTGCGTGCAGAAACGATTTGTCCAACCTCTGATCCTTCCCTGGCCTTAATGGGTATGTTTCTAGGTGGGGTTTTTTTTTTTTTTTAATGCACTTTTATTATTATCCATATTTTTAAATTACTATTTTGCACTTTAAACTCTTATCATTTATTATTATGACCTTTGTTGTTTTGTCGTTTTTCTTCATATCTGTCAATTGGACTATTATCTGACCCTTAAATTTTGTTCTTCCTTACCCCTTGATTAGTACGTTAACCTCATTTGTTATTTATTGTCGAATCCACTTTTTGATACAATCCATTCTATCCTTCTATAGACATACATTTTCCATATAACTATATATACGAATGTACAGCTAAAGTAAATGATTTCGTCGAAAAAAAAATTTTCTTCGCTGAATTCTCTTTTTCTTATTCAATGACACTATGGGTTATTTTAATTATCTAATATGAATTCATACTATTCTGCACCATTATTTGTTCTTGCTTTATTTAAATTCATAAAGGGAACCAATTGCATGAAATTAAATGAAAGGTTAAAATATGATAATAAGATAAATTAATGAAATAATGATAGATATTATGTTGTTTGAAATTGTTAAATATTTTGGAAACAATATGGAAGGACTAGCACTAAATTAAATTAGTTTATATTGATTTAATTCATATGTCAATAGAGTGTGAGTATTTATTTATTTATTTAAATACCTAAACATTAGTACAAGGAGGCACCAAGTAGATATGCGCCACATAAACCATTCGATTTGTGTGAAGGCTGTGATACTGCCCGGATGCCCAAACCTAAGCAATGTCGGTACCGTAGCCAATGAAGTTTATCTGAGGCGCGGTTGTTGCTAGTTGAAAACTACTCGCAATAGAGTGTTAGTGGAGAAAATTACTAAGATGAAAGTCAAAAGTTGACATTATGGTCGTATGAATGATGGATTAAAACTATACGTAAAGAACGTTTAGATAGAGTCGAATTTCATAGACGAGCTGCTGTATGAGTCCGAGAGATCGTGCTACACAGTGGCTGGAGACACTATCAGATATGGCTCAGAATAGAAGCCAATGGCGATCGTGCTGTAACCTTCTTTTACTTTCTTCGTAAAAAGTGATTGTATCTTCCTTAACGGAAAGATTTCTTCTGGTTGTACCTTTCCGTTCCCTCATTATTACTATTATTATTAATACACGACCTTACACCAATTTGTTCGTTATTGTTCTCTTTTTTTGCGCTCCTTACCTTTTTTTCTTTTTCCTTCTCTTTAAATTCTCATTGTTTTGTGTGGCGCATATATATTTGGCGCACTCTTGTACCAATATTTATGTGTTCACATAATAATAATAATAAAATGCGTAAAGAGCAAATAATTCGCAAATAAAAACAAACAGTGAAACTGAAGAATAAGAATTATGAGACAATATTAAGACTTTAGAATTGAACACAACTGTTTCCGTATGATACTGTAATCTTTGCATCAATTGATAAACGCTTAATATATAAGTAAACGTTTTATTATTTCTTTTTAATTATAACACAATACGTTTAAGTTTGTTCACAGTCTTTTCTTGTCTTCAGCCACTGATCTGTTATTAAATATTAGAGTACGTTTCAGATTGATCTGAGAATTTCTATATCACTACATACATTACCATGATCCATTTTAGATACGTATGAATCTATACGATGGAATGGTTTAAAGCAAAGGGTTCTAATACAGTTATGTAACTTCACGAATTGTTAGGGACAATAATCATTGATGAAGTTATGTATCAGTTTAAAACAAAACACCATAAAATAAGATTGTATTAGAATGTAATTGATTTTATTGAAATTCTTGCCAAATACAATTTAGTATACTCAAATTTCAGCCATAGTTTTAGTTGAAATGACCAACGACACTAGGTGATTGTTTTGACCAACGTAGATTTACTATAGTTTTAGTTTAAATTTCTATACATCAATTATACTTATTATTAGTATTATTTTGTGTTAACGATTAGTGTTAAACCAACCGAAATAATAAGACAGAATAATTGAGAAACATAAATGAGCAGAATACATAGTCAAAGCTCATATATACACATATATGTGATGTTTTGCCGGGGATTGTATTCATACTGAAATGCATAATATCTACATTGACCTTAAAATATCATAAAGATCACTAAGATTGATTGACTAAGGTGTATTATAGAGTTTTATTTAATTAGTAGTTTCTATTATCATTCTAACAATAATTAGCATACATATCTATAGAAATATAAATTACTACATAATCTAATTGCATGTGACTGAAAATTTTACATATGGAAAATTCTATTAACTTGAAAATAGTGAGAAACTGATAAAATTACATGTATCAATGAAGTAAGAGTTTTCAACTCGTATATACTATTCAATAACTAATTTTGTATCATACATATTATCATTGGAAAACAATTGAAGTTACAGAGATTGTGTAAAATGCTTCAAAGCGTGAACTTTCATTATATGAATAGTTTAACGTGTGAATACTAAAACACTACATATATTTGCAATTCATTTAGCAAGTTATCATATAGAAAGATACATTCAATCACTGCTCTATAACTGATTTGTATATTTCATCCTACTACCAGTCAGTCAATCGGTCTCAAACAATCTACAATATACTTCTACTCCAGCGAGTATCAAGTGTTGAGGTAGGTTGTAGTTGGTCAAACGTGTAGTGGGTCCTTATTTGGTGAAAATTGATAAACTTATTAATAGATTAATCATTTTCGTCTAGTACCACCTGTCTAACCTAGATAAAGCTCAATCTATGTTCCCAATACATGCGAGTAATGCTCTGAAGATATCTATGATTTGATATTAGCAACCAGCCCACGTTTTCTTCTTCTAAAGGTTATGTTTCACAAGCATATAACAAAATATAGTGTATTGTTGAGTAGGATACTGGTTCTTTGGTTGGCAGACATCTTACCTACGGCGCAGCTAGCACAATTAAACAATGTCAACCAGGCTTTCTGGACATGGGTCGAGATTATATCAGATCCATCCAAACGAGACTGATGAAACTTCTACGATAAGTTGAGTGATTCACTCACTTAGACAACCCCAATTCAGGCGTTGACACGGAACAGTCTTAAGAAACTTGGAATTTAGAGACTGAGAAACTCCTAATATACTTGGACTGCAACTTAGGACGCTTAAGGGACTGCATCTAATAAGTGCCTTCACTAAATGGACCAGGTAAAAATCATACTCTAAGTCACCAAATAAATCATCTGACCAGATGTCAGTCCCTTAAAAGTCAGATGAAGAGCCCGTATCTATGCTTACAGAGAAGCTGAATAGAAATGGTGACACTAAGCAGCTCTGACAAAGAGCGCTTGAGGCTGAAAGTTTTAAAGATAGTTCGCCATAAGCCTACACAAAGCCTTTGCACTTTTTTTGTACACCTAATGATAAACATTGTCATAAAGCCTTTTAGTCTATGAAGTCGCATGCTAACTTCAATTCAAGTAATATTACTACTGTCGGACATCAGTAGGTATGCCTTAGCTCTGAAACCTGACAAACGGTCAATATTTGATCGACACTTTGATATCCAGATTTGAAGCCACCCAGGTTTATGTGAGTTTGCTATTTACGAATCCTAATTTAGGGTTGCATGTTTCCAGTGTTACAAGTAGGGACTTTGTTTGTGAAACTCACTCACAAAATAAAGATCCAGAATTTACGAAACAGGTCTAAATTCTAAACAATGAGAAGCGCCTAAAATACTAGAACACAAAGGCCTGGGTTTATGATTTCCTAATGATTGCTTCAAACGTACAATATGCATAAAAGTTTGGCAAGGATGACAAGAATTTTCAAGAATCAGCGATAAAAACAAGAAATGCTTAAACTGGTAAATATTTCTAATAACAGATTACTTTATGAATACCTTCCGTATGACAAATTAGATAGAGCCCACATAATACGTCTGATGTTGATTGTAAACTGGACGCAAAGTAACTGATCAGTTGGCAAGAATAAATAAAACATAATAAAGTACGTTTGTGCTAAGGGTCACTTTGAGATTATAAAAACTCTCTTTAAAGCCCACAAACTCAATAATAACCATAGAGTTACTAACTAGTATTAGGATGGGTTCACTGAAATTCTATTAGGATGACGTGATCTGATGAGTGAATTAGGTTGAAAGTCATACAGTACCTTACCAATGATAGTGGATAAGGATAACGCCAAAAAACAACGTAGCTAAAGTTTAAACTATGAACCATTCCATTTCTACTCAATGGTCGAAAATTACTGTGTTGGACCCTTTTCCGTGTTGGTTCTTGAGTTTACATCACTAAGAAGTCCCGCAATGGAACGAAATATTAGACTAGTGATCTGTGAGTTTTAATTGCTCTTCAATTGGCATCAGTTCTCAATGGGAATCATCTTCAAAATATACATACATTTTTGTAAAACCCTCAAAACTAATAATCCAAACACAAACTTAAATGGAAAATGGTACGATAAGCTGAGAGATTGCTGAAAAATAAACAAATGGTCCAAGTAGATAATTCAAAGCAATCATAAACTAACAATTTTTTATGTATTACAGACTATGTCCCTTCGCGTAACTCCGCCTGTAACCACTCTGGGGCTAACTCCGGTTCCAAGCCGAGATAAAAGAGGGTTGGATATGGGGGTAGTGACCTCATCCCGTAGAAAACTAACTCGCTAAAAAAACGCTAAACAGAACAAACAATTCATCCCTTCGTGTACTTTTAAAAATAGAATTATGTTCCTTACTTCGCGTATAATAGTTGCCTCAATTGCTTTGTTTTGTTCAATAACCTCTTTAAGAACCAACAAACAATTAGATTGTCGGTGTTTTACCTGAAATGGAACGAGGTGAAAAAGCAAATTAACACGGTTAACACATGTATAAATAAATAAAAGCACACAATCATGAGGTGTTTTAGAATAGTAGGAGACATGTTTTTATAATAATCTTCGGATAATATGTCATTTTTATTAACTACTGTATAAACAATTATCGGCCAGTAGATTGTCGCAGTCAAACCTTTAAACCTATTATTATCACAACACTAGCATCATTTAGAGGACTACCGAGGAGAATGGAAGGATAGACAAGTTGTTTGTTCAAGTTTGCGACTTTCCGGGATTGTACACCAATGGCTTATGACATGAATGAACTCAAACTATAGTGACCAGGCCATTACAATTTCACTTTCAAATTGACTTACTCGTTATGAATCTTCAGTTCAATGTTCACTTAGCTTTGCATTCTTCAAGAAATTATTTGGATATACATTACTACGTCAGACAGAAAAGAAGCACTTTGTAATAAACTGGAAGGACTTCGCGTCTATGAGGAAGAGCTTTTAACTTAAATAGGGAAATCTTGCAAGTACAAACTAATGAACATTGAGAAGTTTCAGCAATATGCTCTTCTAAGAGAGCGGCAGATTACATTATTAGCATAAATAACGATAACGTATTAAATGCAATGTTTTATGAATAGTTGAAATAAATTAAATAAAACAGACTATTTGAATTAACTTCTCTGTTGTAGTGTTTGAAAATGCAATAAAATGGTGTCAAGGTTGCTTCCTCAAAACGTTTCAAAAGTTTGGCAACCGGAAAGACAAGAAAACAGCACATTTAACGAAAAAACACAAACAACTAAGCTGAATGAATGATAAGATACATGTATACAAATTCATCTCGCTCAAAATTCACATCAGTTTAAGGCCTTCTTATGACCACAAAGTTTCACTTTTTTAATTCTCACGTATTAAACTATGCAATTATATGTCAGTTTGTGTGGTAAATTATCATGTGAAAGTAAATAACAATATTTAGTGTCATCTTCAAAACAGTTAATATTCCGACCCACAATCAAATTAGTTATAGGCAAAATCCTAAGGCCGTTAATAAGCAAATCGTCACTAAATAAGTCCAATCTAGTAAGGTAATACAATGTCTCTTTATGAGGACTCTCAAATCAACATATGGTGTTTGAAGTTGTAAGTAAACTTCTGCAATGAAGTACACTATTTCTCTTTAGACTCTACACATGCATGAAAATATTCTTTGTTTGACATCTTGTACTGACATTTTCATGTAGTAGCACCCAATGTAGTTGATCGACAATAATTGAAAACACGGTTGTTATAATAATAATAATAATAATAATAATAATAATAATAATAATGTAAAATGCTATTTTAAGATATCAAAAACGATTAGTGATAATTTGCTACTTTCAAGAATCACAAACTATCTTCTTGGTAATGGAAGTCAGTTATTATTCAAATTCCCAACTTACTTTTATAGCTCTACCATATGCTCCACTTCCAATTTCACCTAATATTTCTAGATCTTTCTCGTCTATATTCGGAGGAAACTCTACCGTGGATCTAACACTAGTCGTACGAGTCAATGAAACACGATCACATTCTTCTTGAATGGTGCATTGAGCGTTTGAACATGAAAATCTACAACTAAATATAGTTATTGACAGCTTTGAAAAATTATTACCCATGATCCTTGCTATCATTTCGTAAAGATGCACTCTAAGAAAATTGATATTACTTCACTTCCGATGAAAATGATCTTACAGTCTGAAGCTTCTTTGTTAACATTCGTTTGTTTGTGAAATTTCAAGGTTCTTGGGAAGTGAAAATGTAATTAAGTTTTACTTGTAGTAAACAAAACAGATAAGAAAAGCTTGAATCTGTCATATACTTCGATAATATAGTTTGATAAATCCACAGATTGTGGCAGCTTCATTTCATCTAGCTAAGCAATTTTACATTTATACAACGAGTTCATAAAACACGTTCAAACAAGCCTATACTTGTTTGAACAGGTATAAAGCAAAATAATCGTATGACAGTTAAATGTCGCTTCTATCCTAAATGGCATTGTTATTTTTCAAGAAACGTAACCCAACAATGTCTAAAACAGAGAAAGATTATCTGAATGGTCTCAAACCTGGCAGTTGCCGATAAATACTTCCAAGTGTGTTGTGATGTATATCGGTCATCAAGGTACAGATACATACACGATGAATAACACTGAGCTACCTGTCGTCCAGACACATAATGACGTTGGAGTCATCGTCAGCCAAGACTTAAAGACTACTGCACACTGCCGTGCAATGGCCGCCAAAGGTTTTAGGACGTTATGGTCAATACGTAGGGCTTTTAGTCATCTCGACGCTAATAAGTTTTTGACTTTGTATACAGTGTTCGTACGTCCTAAACTTGAGTACTGCATACAAGTGGCCAGACTCTGCTTAAAAAAAGACAGCGAGCTTCTGGAAAAGGTTCAGAGAACGGCAACTAAGCTGATTCCCGGAATAGCGAAGCTTCCGTATGATGCTCGACTGGCCAATCTAAACATTTTCCCATTGTCATATCGTAGAACTAGAGGCGACTTGATTACAGTTTTCAAATTACTTAATGATAAATTCGCATCTGATATGCCCTCATTTTTCTTGTCTTCCAAAATAGAGAATTTACATGGACACTCCAAAAAGTTCACAAGCCCAGAAAGAATTGCTTATCAGCTGACTATCGACTTTCCCATCGAATCATCAACATGTGGAACTCATTACCTCAGCACGTGGTCTAGGCTCCATCCGTCGATTCTTTCAAAAGAAAGTTGGATCAACTGAAGAACCACCATTGCCAGGACTAACACAGGCCATCAGGCCTACTGTCCTCCCCAAACTGAAACTAAACGAATCTTAAAATTATAATATCGCGTTGATGTAGAGAGGCTTAGATTTATCGACAACAATCTACTACATAACGATTTAGATAACACTATTTCATCTAATCACCATAGAGGTAATATAAAATTAAGGAAGTATAAACTAAAACTGAGAAATAAGTTATACAATAAGCTTCACATGACAACATATCAGTTCAAGCAGCTTAATGCAGCAAAGCGAAAATGTGATAAATGTAATAGACGAGAGGAAAAAAAGAATATACAATAAGATTAGGTTTATAGAAAGATAAACGACAGATGCATCTAGAATATTTTGAACAGTGTAAACCATTAATAATAATTTTATTTATTATTTGTTGAAATCAGGTTAAGATCCTTTCTCTAATACCTGGTCAGTGGACTAAACAATCAACTCGTAAAGATGAGACTAAATCTACCACTCAATGCCTTTGAGAAACTGTGCTATCATGTACTCCTGCTACGAATTACAGTGATTGCATAAAATGACCGTAACTCGGTAGATTATTACAAGCGTCTTTTGTATCCCATAAATTCAGCAAGATTATGACTTGTGGACGGATCAATATAAGTAAAGGTGGCCAGTCTTGTACTGTGTCTTGAAATATACTCACCCATATAGTTAAAGAGCATTTTGGCATAATATCTTATATCAATTCGTGATGAAAAACTTACTTTAATTCGTAACCTTTAATTCTGACTGTAAGTACTAATCGCCATTCCCTACACTTATTTCTTAACTCCATTCGACTGTGGTGGACAGGTAGGTTTTCTCAGTTAATACCATCGCCCAGATGTTTTAAAAGGCAAGGTCGTTCATAGTTTTATTGTCTACCACGTGCGAGATATGAAGCTTGTGGAAGTATCAGAGTATTTATTAGCTGTTTTAGCTGTAGCGGCTTATCAAAAACAGAGTCCACATAAAGATAAGCATGCTCCTAACTTTTGAACAAAATGGACTAATTTTGGTTGTATTCTCTCCACCTTTCAGCCGGAACTGGCATCACTAGCGTATACTAAATAAAAATACGCAACTCAAAACGTTTTGTTAAAAATCTAGCGCAAATCATGACTAAAAAAAGTCTCACCACAAAATACAACAGACTTCCAGATACCTATCACTAAAAGTAGGATTAAATATGCATTACATAGTTTACACTAAGAAAAACAGCCAAATGGTACATTAAAACAAAGGTTAACCCAACAAAAAGTTATTTTTTGGGTATATACCATCAGTATAAATTCGCCTTTAAATGTGTTATCGAACACACCTCGCTACACAACATTCATCTTACGTTCTTCAAAATGACAGGATGTACTGTTTATGTAAACGTTATAGAAATTTCAGTTGACAAGCGATTATTACTAGCTCAGTCACCTTGGCATAGTTCTTCGAAATTCGGTGTGAATTATAAAACTCTACAGAATTTTCGGTCTGGTTGAAATAAGTAAGGTAAGGTTATTTGTTTGTGCAACCATGATAAAAACCCTTACACCTCTTTACATCAGCTTGTATTGTAGATAGATTTTTAAGAAACATTCCCCTACCGGATCAACTCGATCTTCTTAGCCTTCTGCTGTTAGGTTCTCCAGCATCGCTGTTTATGCTGGTCAACGACAGGATCATCAGACACCTGAACTGGATATTTTAGACATATTATCCAAACTCGTTTAGTGTTTATATCTTTCTTAATCCACCCATTCATCTATCCTAATTCACATTCATTCCTTCTTATCGTAATTACCTTGACTATAGTCATTTTATCACATATTATATCCACACAAAGTTAGGTTGATCAGTTTTATTATTATAATTATATTGATAAAAACTTGGCACCATACTACAAATCATTACGACCTTCATCAACTGACCTTTCTAATTTGCAAATCACACCATCTTGAAGTATTTCTATAGAAATAAATGAGTGTGTTTAACATTTCTCACATATAACATTGTTCAATTCATTCATGCCTGCCTCATTTTCGTCTTTGTAAAATAAGACAAACATTATAGACATTTAACTGTAGAGGCTGATGATCGAATCAGTTGTTCGCTCAAATATTCTTTGTGTTTGCATTGGAATTCTCAAATTGTCATATTCAAACATAAAAGTCAACCATCAATTCCTCTATTTGATCACGTCAACCTTTCGTAAATATACTAGGAATGTAAAACACTGATTGCAAATTAACGTACCAGAATTGAGGGTGTAGCGGTAAATAAATCCCCAAACTAAATAGCTCTATAGGTTTTCGACATTGGATGCTGACCATATGTTTTAGTGGATTCATCTAGCTGAACGCGCTCGGTCATGCATCCGCACCAGATCACGTGCTGTAACGCTGTGCTCAACATCAACCGCGATCACTAGCCAGATTAGATCAGAGATTCCCGATATATTGGTTATCGCCAAATACACTCTTCCGATTTCCTCGACTCTGTCTTTTGATTTCTCTCGGTGGGAACAAAGCATATTAGAAGGTGTTACCGGTAGAAGCGTTGTCAAACACTGATTACCTGTATCATCCTCATTGGTGAGACCGTCGTGATCTGGTACACCTAATTGCAACTGTGAGTCTGTTCTTTTTGGGGTTTTTTATATATCATTACCTTATTTTTTAAACATTGTGATTTTTTTCTCGTGTTTTTTCTTGAATATATGTGTATATTTTCCCCTCGTTCATTATCGTACTTCATATTTCATCATGGCTGAACAGACACCCAAAGTACTCAAGCTTAAGACTTTGTCCCCGCCTTGGTTTCGACTCATGCCTTTCTGGCCCGACAATATCGAAGCCTGGTTCTGCTACGCAGAATCCGATTTCTCCGAGCACGGCGTGATCGACACACGTGCACAATTCCTCTCAGTAGGCAGGGCACTACCGCGCGAATTCAACAGGTACGTAACACCTAGTATGTTTACAAGTGATGTTTCCGATCCTTACGAAATCTTGAAACGTTCGATTCTTAAACGAGGAGACCTAACCGATCGACAAAGATTAGATCAACTCTTCAATAACATCGACCTGCAACACGGTTCTGCGACTGACATGTTGCAACGAATGAGAGAAGTGATAGGCCTAAGGACTTTCGACGGTCTATTTAAACAACTTTTCTTGTCTAAACTTCCTCAACAGGTGCAAGCGGTTCTGGTCTCGTTTCAGAACAACGCCTTAGACGAGCTAGCTGCATCTGCCGATCGTATTTTAGAAATAACGAAATCGTCACACGACTCAGAATGACATAACCGAGTTATGTCATACACTCACGCGTTATCTTAATCTTCGTAACGACCGTAGTCGCTCACGCAGTCCACGTAGAAGCATTTCGCGTAAACGATCTGTCTCTAGACCACGAGAAACGGATAACCTGACTGGTGCTGGTATCATAACCAGTATGGAAAATCTTCCAGAAATTGCAGAAAACCCTGCAATTTTCCCAACACGAAAACGATTGACTCGAAAAACAACTCGGGAAACTTCTAAGCCGGCACGCGTTAACGGCAACCGTAGCCGGCGAACATAGCCGTCTGTTGTACGTCACAGATGTGACAACGAGAGTTCGCTACCTCGTCGATACTGGCGCAGAAGTTAGCGTTCTCCCAGCAAATCATAACGACCGGCTCCACGAATCAACTCTAAACTTACAGGCGGCAAATGGAAAACCGATCGCCACGTATGGCAAAAGGTACATCTACCTGAACGTGGGTTTACGCAAACCCATTCATTGGATTTTCGTTGTTGCAGATGTTTCTATGCCAATCATTGGTATGGATCTTCTACAACACCACAATCTAATCATCGACACGCGCAAACGGAGGCTAGTAGATGGAAACATTAAATTATCCGTTTGCGTAACTTCCTTTTCTGGTTGTAGATTATCTCCAGTCACAGTTAAGCATATGATAGACCCACTCTATCAACCCCTACTCGATAAGTATCCTGGGATACAACAAACTCAACCGAAACTACCGTGTGTAACCAGCAATGTTACACATCATATCACGACTACAGGACCACCTGTATTCTCTAAAGCACGACGACTAGCTCCTGAAAAGCTAAGGTTAGCGAAAAACGAATTCGATCACATGATAGACTTGGGAATCATACGACAGTCAAACAGCTCTTATGCATCTCCGTTGCACATGGTCCCTAAAATGGACAGCAACGATTGGCGTCCAATTGGTGACTATCGGCGATTGAATGCAAAAACCATTCCCGATCGTTACCCGTTGCCTCACATTAACGATTTGACAGCTACCTTGAAAGGTACAACTGTCTTTTCGAAAATCGACTTAGTTAAAGCGTATAACCAAATCCCTATGGCTACTGACGACATACCGAAAACAGCTATCATAACTCCTTTCGGACTCTATGAATTTTTGCGAATGCCGTTCGGTCTAAGAAACGCTGCGCAAACATTCCAAAGATTCATAGACGACGTTTTTCGAGGTCTCAACTTCGTACATGCGTATGTTGATGACTGCTTAATCGCAAGTCCGGACAGAGAATCACATCTCAAGCATCTGGATCTTGTTTTTGAACGCTTACAAAAACATGGCATTACTGTAAACGTTCAGAAATGCCAATTCGGAACCGACTCGTTAGATTTCCTAGGACACACTATCGATGCTCAAGGCATTCGACCTCTTAGGACCAAAGTGGCGGCCATTCTGGATTACCCAGAACCGACCAACGTCAAGCAATTACGCACGTTTAACGGCTTGGTAAGTTTCTATAGACGCTTCATACCGAAATGCGCATTACTTATGAAACCTCTTACTGACCAACTTCGTGGAAATGCGAAATCCATTAATTTGGACGACACCGCACGAAAAACATTCTCCACAGTTAAGGAACTAATCGCTAAAGCAACAATGCTCGCACATCAGGACACTGAAGCACCCATTAGTATCGCAGTAGACGCATCCGACTCGGCAATCGGAGGAGTCTTACAACAATGGGTTAACAACTCCTGGCAACCCTTGGCATTTTTCTCTAGACGGTTGCTAGACACCGAATCGAGATACAGCACATTCGGTAGGGAACTCCTAGCTATGTATTGTGCTGTACGGCATTTTCAACACTATATCGAAGGCCGTGAATTCACTCTATTCACTGACCATAAACCGCTCACTTTCTCGTTAAGCTCCTCTTCAGACAAGTACTCTCCCCGTGAGTCTCGACAACTGGACTACATTTCGCAGTTTACTTCAGATATTCAACATATTTCTGGAGCAAACAATGTAGTTGAAGACGCCTTGTCTCGAATAAATTCCTTGAACAGTTTCCAAGGAATCGACCTTCTTAAACTCGCCCAGCTTCAAAAAGAAGACACTGATCTTCAGCAAGAGTTATCGTCCACAACCCTTAAACTACGCATCAAACAGATGGGAACAGGTAAGGAAACCTTACTTTGTGACACATCTACAGGTAGGGATCGCCCAATCGTCCCGAAACATTGTCAACGCAATGTCTTCAACACATTGCACAAACTTTCTCATCCAGATGTTCGTGCAGCCATCAAGCTTATAGCAGAACGGTTTTGCTGGCCTGGTATGAATAAAGACGTGAGGGACTGGGCACGCTCCTGTGTAGACTGCCAAAAATCTAAGGTCATCAGACACAATAAATGTCCCTTAGGCTCATTTAAAACTCCCGATGCTCGTTTCGACCATGTTCATCTGGATTTGGTAGGACCTTTACCAGATTCAAATGGATACTCTTACCTCTTAACCTGTGTAGATCGTTTCACTCGATGGCCAGAAGCAGTACCTATCAAGGACATCACTGCTGAAACAGTGGCCCGCACTTTCTTCGAACGATGGGTAGCAAACTTTGGTTGCCCTTCAACCATCACTACAGACCGCGGACGTCAGTTTGAGTCTGAACGTTTCCGTCGTCTGACCACACTATTAGGAAGCACTCGCTTCCGAACGACCGCCTACCACCCACAAGCAAACGGGTTGGTAGAACGCTTTCACCGACAACTAAAAGCTTCACTATCAGCTGCAAACGTTTCACAGTGGACCGACGCTCTTCCACTCGTCTTACTAGGTATCCGCAATGCAGTGAAAGCTGACATTGGATACACTGCGGCTCAACTCGTTTATGGAACGACACTTCGACTTTCAGGAGAATTCGTGGATTCTTCATCCTCTTCAATGAGCATGGATCTAACCTCCTACACGAACAGGCTTACAAACGCAATGCGTTCAGTTAAACCTGCTTCCACTCGACCTCAATCAGCTGATGTTTTCGTTCAACCTGACTTACGTTTAGTACACACGTTTTCGTTCGTCGGGACTCGCATCGACGACCTTTCGAATCGGCATACGAAGGACCCTTCTAAGTTCTTCAACGCGAACCGAAGTACTATATAGTCGATAAGAACGGAACCAACGATAGCATCAGCATCGATCGCCTCAAAGCAGCGTTTTTTGAAGGAAATCCTATCTACGTGGATTTTCCTTCGGTACAATTGAACGACACGACTCCGACACTTATAATGCCTCATCCGACAACCAACACACACGATGATACTTCGACAGTATCCGAAAATAAACTTAAAACGACGCGTTCTGGAAGAAGAGTGAGATTTCCAGAACATTTAAACGACTATTGCACGTAAGGCACTTCTCGACATTTTCTTTATTATTAAAAAATAAATTTTTTTTAATATGCTTGAATATTTTTATTTCTATTTCAAAAAATAACAAAAAAACGATTTTTTAACGCTGTTACGTGTTCATGAGTTTATTTTCCCTTTTTTACGCACATACGAGTGTATTTTCGTTATGCACTTACATTTTCTTTCTTCTTTTCCAGGACGGCTGGAAAAGAACGATGACGTGTTCCAATCACATCGGGCTCACCAGTGTAGATCACCGACGTAGATGATCTATGTTGAAATGATTGGAGGCCTACTCGAGTTAGACGTGAATGGTGTGACAAACTAACTAATGTCGAAGTCACACCTCGTGGTCAGCACCTTACGTGGACTACCCTATTGACGTATCAAGGTACCATAGATGCTTTGAAGACTGTACAACACAGAGGACGTTATTACAGAAATATATTAGTTAAAGTAGATACAAGCAAAAGTTAGACCAATGCCGCACGGGCCAGTCCATGGCATACGATTAACTAATGCGCGTTGGTTGTCCTTGTCCTTGAGAGGATCGATGATTTGCTCGATAATCAGTGACCCAACTGCCGGATGATTTGGCTAGGGCTCAGTGACATTCCACTGGCCCTACAAGGGTTATGGAGATTTTAGTAATCTGATAGTTGAATTCATGAATCGATCAAAGCTAGACCACCATGGAGAAGCAGGAAGCACTGGACACTCGTCTCCCCTTATTATGGTACTCCTCATTATGTGCTCACTAGTGACTGCCATCATGATGGATTTCATGAAGATCTAGTGAGAAGCCGTGATCGATGGATTTCAATCATGTTTGTTGTGATGCAGATACTCAATGGAGAAAATGGTGGACGGTCGCACAATATGGTGGATTGGTTGAAGTTGGACATTAACACCGTTGAATGTCGGCCAGCTCAGTGGACCACAAGTTAAGATTCTGCACGTGAGACCGAAGTATGTTGTATCAAATCTCGAGTGTAGGATCTTGAATACACAGTGCTAGTGAGTTCCATAATAAGATGGAGCGGCGGTTCACAGCTTCCAGGTTTTGCATGGTGGTCTATCCTCGCCCCAGGCGCTTAACCAACTAGACCACTGGGCCGGATGTTATCCAACGGTGTTAATTTTTGACTTCAACTGATTATTTAATTCTTAATCGCTGAGATTATTCCAAATATAATTTTCACATATAATGAATAATACTTGTGTCACCATTATGCATAGAGACTAAGATTGTAAATATATGGATTACTAATGCCTATGTCATTTGTGAATTTTTCATTGAATCTTCTTTCAAATAGAAAAATAATGTCTGATCGTATAAATGATTTTCAAGTGACGTATCCATTGGAGCCATGTATCCGAGATCCACAGACTGTTCTCATATTGAATTCTTCATTGATTTCCATGAATTAGTGATCATGGTCCAGTGTAATCAATCCAAATTATTCCCGTAATTGACTTGTTGAATAGTGAATACATGTCATAGGATATCAGGGATATTCTGATGACTTGAATAACTTCAAGCGATTCTCAATAATGTAATAGGTATAGTATCTAAATTTATCATCCTCAAACCTCAGAACTAGGCTAGGAATTGATGTTAGATGATGATGATGATGATGATGATGATGATGATGATGATGATGATGATGATGATGATGATGATGATGATGATGATGATGATGATGATGATGATGATGATGATGATGATGATGATGATGATGATGATGATGATGATGATGATGATGATGATGATGATGATGATGATGATGATGATGATGATGATGATGATGATGATGATGATGATGATGATGATGATGATGATGATGATGATGATGATGATGATGATGATGATGATGATGATGATGATGATGATGATGATGATGATGATGATGATGATGATGATGATGATGATGATGATGATGATGATGATGATGATGATGATGATGATGATGATGATGATGATGATGATGATGATGATGATGATGATGATGATGATGATGATGATGATGATGATGATGATGATGATGATGATGATGATGATGATGATGATGATGATGATGATGATGATGATGATGATGATGATGATGATGATGATGATGATGATGATGATGATGATGATGATGATGATGATGATGTTGGACCCGGCTCAATAGTCCAAGGATCGAATACTCGCATGAAGTATCGAGTGACCTTGGTTTAATTTCCAAGTCTAAACTCGTTTATGTGCTTTGCTGATGAGTCCCATGCTAAGATGAAATAGTGACCTAGTGCTTTTAGGTTTTAAATGGTAGTCTCACTTAAATCAATCCATCATTTCGATGAAATTCAACAACCTCCACAACCCCATACTAACAATAAATTCATAATACTGTATTACAGTAGACTATATATAAAATTCATAAGTAAATAGGAAGTCCTAAAGATTAGTTAGCTTGTAGTCTGACACAAAAAACTGGCTTTAGTTAGACAACTATTGAAAATTGGGCAGCACTGGGGAGTTTTTTCATCTTATTATGAGATATGTCAGTAATACATGTTCATGACCCAGGTAAGAGATGGAACATTAGATGCTTCTTATACAATTTAAGACTATAATCATAAAGCCTGGTTGAATTTGTTAGTGTTATAGATCAAAATAATAAAGTATTTATGTGTATAAATAGTTGTCATTGGTAAAGTTGAAAAGTCATCCTAGTAGGAGTACATAAACAGTCAAGTTAAAGGAAACATTTAAATCCTTAGAATGTTGAGATGAAAAATAGAAAGGTATGAACACAGTTGGTTTCTTTTTGATTTCCAGTTAATTTCAATATTGTAAACTTATATCGAGTACTGTACTATTGAATCATTTACACAAAATGAAATTATTGACAAATAAACTTCTATTTGAAGTTTGTGCTGATGATGTCGTTCAGAAGAACGATGAAAGCTCCACGACCAAACCATCCAGCTCAGAGAACAAAACTCCACCAAAACAAATAAATTATTCACTTAATTAAAATGATTACGTTTTATCAATATCTAGTGGGAAAGCAATAACTGTCATTATTAATCTAGAGACTATTTGGTGTTATCAAGAATCTCTATTAAGTGAGACACATAACGATTGCCCAAAATCGTGGATTGGTTGCAGTTAGACATTAACACTGTCGGATACCGGCTCAGTGGTTTACAGGTTAAACGTTCGCATGCGGTGTCGAAGGTCCTTGGTTCAAATACTTATGGTGTGGGATGGTGGATGGGCATTGCTAAAGAGTTCCATAAGTGAACTCAACAATCTCCGCAACTCTATACATATAACTGTTATATTAGGGTTGGATTTTATGCACAATTTACATATTAAATTATCTTGAACAGAACAGACTTTAAAAACTAGGCAGTATTGAATAACTGTTTCAACCTGCTATAAGATTTTAAAGAGGCTCCCACTCATAGGAACATAATTATTTGAACTTGGAACCTTAAGCCCTTTAGTCAAACTAGTCTCCTATAAATCACCGATCTAATATTTAGGGTATTACAATTCTAATTTCAGTCAATTTCCAGTATACTGTACATATTATTAGCTACTAAGATTAAGGACTCAAATCTTCGTTCCGATATGATTGAAGTTCACTAGTCAAGTGTTTATTTAATGGCAATAAATAAATACATTAATGGTGGTAACTGTATTCACCTACATAGCAATATATGAATATAGGATAAGATGTCTTCCATTATTTATAAAGGCAACACTCATTAAAAAAAATTAAAATTTTTCTGTAAAGGTATGATAGAAATAATTAACGTATCATGTATTGCAAAGAATGAAATGTATTAAACAACATACACAATAGATATATCATTCATTTATAGATTCAGTTATTAGGTGGATGCAATTATATTAACCTTCCTAGTTCATATGCAATACGGTTAGTTGGATTATGAAGTAAGATGATAGATTTTAAAGGATGTTTAGACATTGTTTATTACTAAATTCACTTGGTGTTGTGTCACTTGTATCTCCCCATTGACGTTTAAGACTGCAATTGATCAGTCCGTTGTTGGCATATGTGCATACTGTGTATATACCTCGATATTGCTTTAATTCACAAGATTTTTGTAAGCAATGATGGATAGTGTCTAGCAGTGGAATCCAGTTTGACACTTGTCAGCTGGATTTTCCTACATCGCAAAGTTGATGTTCACCCAAGGATTCTATTTTTGCTTAAAAAGCTTCTGACTTAAGGCTATAACGAAGTAATCCACACAGGATACACATATATCAACAAGAGACTGATCAATTGTAGTGCTAGATAACAATAGGAAAATACATTTAAAATAACACCAAGTGAATTCAAACTTCACCCCATTGCTCAAGCAAGTGGCTATCAGGACTCAGTAACTAAATGGATAACGCGATGATGTTTGAAGCGAACGGTACCTTCATAGAAATATAAATTTTGATAATGAAATTTCATATAATTTTCTAGATGTTACTTTTTCGTTTTATGAAACATAAAAGAAAGATATAGAATAGTTCAAGATTGAACTTTCATTTCAAATATAATCAACCGATAGATAACTTTTACTTGTGAATTGAAAACTATTCAACACAACATACCCACAATTAGAAATCTAGAATATTATATAATCTGGAATAACAGGTTGGATTGAAATCAATGAATTTAAATTCAATGGTTCATCGTTTATTCATTACTGATGTAACACAGTTCTTAATGATGATATCAGCATTTGGTCCTGTCTCTCTCTCTGTGTGATTTAGTTAACTCTATTGGTTACAATTTCCTATAATAAGAATCTTATACTCTCACAAATCAGTAGTTTATTGCTTCTTAGATTTTAGTGGGCTTTTTTTTAATTTATACTAATTCGCATAATTTAAATCCTTTAAAATTAAAATATATAAAACGTCAGTCATATGTTAAACGATCGGAAGTAGTCAGGCAGGAAATCTTAGATCTAAATTTTAAGCTAGTTAAGACGTGTCAGCAATTATTCAATATAAATAGAGCAAGAACAAACATTGATGCAGAATAGTATGAATTCATATTAATTCGAGGTTTCTCGTCAGCTGCTTACAAACCAAAATTGTGATAGAATTTCTGTTACATGGAGATAGTGTGAAAACAATTGACATAAATGAGTGTAAATAACTAGATTACAATAATAACTATATATACATATATATGCTAGAAACAGGTCAGAGGTCAAAAGAGAGGGGTTAATCCAGAGTGGGTGGTGTAATAATTTGGTGAAGTTCATAAATTGTGTGATAATTGTGGTGATTAATGGTATTCAATAATGATAAAGTAGATTACGTAATAATAATTAAATAGAATTTGGAAAGTCAACATAATTTAAGAGGATCAGGTGGTGGAAATATGTGAATAAAATTTATTTTACGAGTTAGGTAATAGGGGGGGAGTATAAAATATCTTAGAATAAGTAAAATAACCAAAACACAAAACAAACAGAAACAAAAAGATTACCAGGGTAGTGATAAGTTTATTAAAGTCTCGTTTTGGATGTATAAGTCCGGTGTCAGTTTCTTAATTGCAATCGCTTCAGCAAAGCGGAGAGTGGTAATATTTCTTTGTCTATTGATAATTTTAAACACGCGTATAATATCGACAGTATGCCCGGTGTCATATATTTTTGAGAGAATCGATTATCACTTCAGCGTTTGAGTAGATTATCTAGACTGATGAATATGTTGCATCTTAATCTACAAGAAGGTCTAGACAAACAAACACATCGGTGATTACTCAATGGTTAATCAATATTTAATTATTATTGAAAGTTATTCATTGTTCATTAAGCCTCAATGATTAAACTCTGCAACACAACTGAAAGTTTCATTGTTTTTCTTTTGTTATAGTACACACTAATGTTTATTTATTTTAAATAATAGAAAATCCATGATAGTTATATACCATTGAAAATATAAGTTAATGTACGAAATAAGCCTTAATTGATCAATTCAATACATTGGTTACATGAAATGATTGATTTCTTAGTCGAATACTAACTATACTTTCACCTTGCTTAACCCTTTTCCTCTTGTATGAATGTGGTTATGTAGAAGTTGCTTTGATTCAACAAATTAATTCATGTAAAGAGAATATAGTGTATTTATCTGATTTATAAATGATATAAATTCTCTAAAGTTTAATAGGAAAGATATCGAAAATGGTAAGTATCTGAATAAGCGAAAACATCTTGAATTGAATTTTAAGTTTTTCTTTGAAGTCTATAACAATACCAATTAATTAAAAGTTAGTTAGATGAGTTCCTTGCCTTTTGAAAGATGTTTTATAAATGGGGTTATAGCTGTCCAGCTGACACCTGAAACTATGAAATTAAAATAGCTTCATATCTTTCTTTCTATGAACTAATTCTTTCTTTCGGTATTAGATCTTTACACACAATCTTTCTTTTATATATTACCACCACTGAACTAACTACGACTATGAATTCGGTGTTCATTTTGTGCTAATGAAGTATGGTAACTTTGGACTGGTGCACATATGTGCCTGGCCCTACGTTGTAGGTGAGTGACAGACTGACTATCCTACTGACATATGTCACTACGAATTATAAATAGGGAATAAATTTTTCCATCCAGCTAATTATATAAAGAGGCAACATGTTTTTGACAATAACTAAGACTTACATTTAAAATTTCTAAATTCTTATACATCATTAACAGTATGGGGATTTGTAGAGATGGTAGTATTTTTACAATTTAACTCATGAGTCAATCTAAGCTAGACCACTATTAAAAACCTGAAAACCCTGGGAGCCTTTTCGTCCTAGTATGGGATTCCTCAGTAACGTGCATCCATGATCTCATATATTATCTCTTATCATACAATCTTATTCATTATTTTATTTTCTTAGACCTTTAATGAAAGATTAGTTTATCGTAAATATATATTATTAGGGTCTATTAATACTATAAATGGTAAACCATTTAATGTTATTATGAATATTGTTTTGTATAGACATTTAAAATATTGCAGATAATTAACGAATGATTGTTTTATCAAAAACTTATATTATCCAATCTAGTCAAATATCTTGATAGAACTGAACATTGATACATTGAAATTGATACGGATAGAGGAAAGTAAAATAAACTGACTATATCTGGTACATACATTATGTAATAA